GAACCAGTGTATACTGTGTGCTTGTGCATAAATAAACTGTTAAACTTTCCTCCTTGTGTCCGTCAGTGGTGTTCTGCATTCTTGGGTCGCTTTTAGTGAACCCATCATGACACTTACCATTGCCCAAAGTTAAAAATTATCTGTCCTCTATTTACTGCCATTGCCCCTATAGGAGATATAGTCCACAAATTAATTCAAGAACCAGTCCAGGAGGTCACAAAGCAACATTTAGAGCCTCATTTGCCTCACCTAAGGTCAGAGTTCATGAGTCATTAACAATAAAAGGAGAATGGGAGAAGATGTCATTCATGGAAGCTGTCCAAGACCAAAACTTGTGGGAAAAAATATTCTGTGGACTGATTGGCCGGTAGGGAAAGCTTTCAGGTGGGAGTAGGGATTTTAACAAAAAGAGCTAGCATGCTAACTCTTCTGGCTGTAACTACAGTAGCAGCCATTCAAAATTGCCCTTCCCAGTCAATTGCCAGCTGAATGGCAGCAGCCTTCCCTGCAACTCCCAGCAATATCCCCTCCAACGTCCAGCCACTGGAGGGACCCCATCCTTCTCCTGCGCGAGCATATTTTTTAACTCTAGCTCCACCCTTTCACTGAATAACAGCGACCAGGAGAAAGGGCCTCTCTTTTGATCTTAATGTTCACATATCATCACAAAAAGAACATTTTAGTACAAAGATTGATGTTTAAAAAGGAATTGTAGGGGACCAGCCAAGGGCCAATCAAGGAAAGTGGGGAAATATTGAATGGCTACTACTGTACAACCAAGCGTATTTCCAACACATGACGATATCATGCTCTGCCAGGCCTCGTTTATGGGCCATAATGGACGGAAACACGTCTGATTTCTTTTTTTCAAAATTTTAATTGCATTTGAATGGAAGCACAGTGAGTTTTACAATTTCAAAAAAACAAAAACAAAAAAAGTAGGAGAAAATAGCCCTATTATACTGACCAAAAATAAAAAGATATAAATCATGTTGTTTAGGCAGTTATATATACATATATCTATATATATCTCTCTATATATATATATATATAGTTATAATTCTGCCAAAAGTAAAGATGGGTAATAAATATTGAATAAAAGCAGTTTTATTTCTAACAAATGCACATACTTTTTACCCACATTTTGAACATTTTATGCATGTAGATTTTGTACCATGATGCTTTTAATATATTACTATTATGAGTTTATGTTTCTTCTCTTGCATTTTGCACCTGTAGATTCTCTACTACTTGCATGTAGATCTGTTTCTGTGCACTCATGTCAACTTTTGTCACTTTGAGGGAAGAACCAACCTGAGACACAAAGAGCCTGTGATTGGCTACTTTTCAGCAAATCCCACCTTTTGAGAGAGCACTGTTTTTTTCCCGGTTGCCGCTAGCAATGATGTAGAGAAAAAAGGTTAAACATTGGATGATTAGAAATACGAATTTCTGTGTTTAAGCAAGCATTGCTTTCCTTAATATCAACAGTGTAGCTATCGTTAGCACTTATTGATGACATCACTAAAAAAATTTACCAAAGAAAAAACGCTTTTTCAAAAGTCATCATCAGACATGCCCAGAGCAGTCTGGCAAGATATGAGTAAACCATCTTTATCTGCATTTTGTTTTTCTTTTTTTTTAGGTTAAGCACTATATATCACAATGTTAACATGAAGGGAAAACATAAAACTTAAAAAGAGTAGATTTATGTTTAAATCCAAAGCTGAAAAAGTTAGCCACCGGTTATAGTCTAGGATCCCATTTCCGGTTCAGATCGGGCAAAGACGAGTGACAAAACAGAAAGGATTTTTACAGCATTTATTTTCTCAGGAAATACATTATTAACCTTTAACGCATTATATTTTAGTAAGTTTACTATTTTTGGGGAGGGAAAACGTAATTTAGGTATTTTTAACAAAATAAAATCGATGATGACCCGGATGCGCATGCGCAAATGAGCTGAACAGATCGTGATTCCGGGACAGATCGGCTAGTGACACAATCTAGTAAGACAGTTCTTACTACTCTATTGACGACAATAGGCAACATTTCAAAGAGCTCCCGATCTGTACCAGTAGCACGATCCAACCATTAGGTAATTTGTGCATGCGTAACCAGATATACATTCAGGGTCACTATGGATTTCACTCTGTAAAAAAAGACCTAAGTTACATTTTGGTACGCGAAGTTACTGTAATGCTATACATAATGCGTTACTATAATGCGTTAAATTTTAATAATGTATTTCCTGCGAAAATAAATGCCTTAAAATCTTTCTGTTTTATCACTCGTCTCTGCTAAGAAATGGGATCCTACGCTACTTCCAGGAGCTAACTTTTTCGGCTTTGGATTTAAACATAAATCTAGTCTTTTTGAGTTTTATGTTTTCCCTTCGTGTTAACATTATGATATATAGTGCATAACGTAAAGAAAGAAAAAACTAAAATGCGAGTAAACATGGTCAGAGAAGTACTTTAGCAGAGAAAATGTAAAAAGCATCAAATTATCTAAGCAAAAGTCATACCTTTTTTTTAGATGTGTATTAGCATTTTTAGTGATTTAAGGATAGAAATAGGTACTTTTAATACCATAATTACATTATTTATGGTGACCAGGATGTATATCTGCCTGCCTATGCTAGCGTTAGCCTAGATGTTAGCAGAGCATGACAATAGAATATGATATTTAGGTTGCTCTACTCGTGTGATCATGTAAAGACATTAGCATCTATAAAGGTTACATGTGATTTAACTGAATATAATTGAAACAGACTTGAAAAAAACATGTCACATGGCTAACAGAAGATGTATAAAATGGATTACAACCTCTCAATCAGTAAGTTTTTATCTAATGAATGCGCATTTTCTGAAATAACTACCGAAAGTATCAGTTATGGCTAAGCTCTGCCTGCCCAAGTAATCAAATTTTCTTGGCATTTTGCTGGCAAAACGTAACTATTCAATGACTCTGTCCACAAGCATGAAGAAAACAGCAGTGTTTAAAGGGGCGGGGCTTCATGAAAAGTAGCCAATCAGAGAGAGTTTATCTTCTCAGGTCGGTTCCTCGCTCAAAATGACAAAGAAACAGGTCCACCAGTGAGTAAGAGATCATCTACAGGCAAATAAAAAGCAAGAGAACTCATGCAAGGCACATTTTGGGGGCTTCTTGCTACTGAATCTGCACGCCAAAAAAAAAACCCACAAAATGCAAGTAAAGATTAGTTTATTTGAGTGTGCACCTTTGGTAGAATTCTGTCTACATTGCTTTGGATTAAAATGACAGGATTGATTTTTTTTTAGATATCGGTAATGAGAACCAACCAAAAACAAATGCAATTAATTTATTTAAGACATATCTAAAGGGAAACCCTTCATATCTTTATGAGCTGTACTTTCAGAGTATATCATTAAAATGCATTTACTGCTTCCTGTTCAGTTTATCTTCTTCAGATACAACTCTTTTAGTGATTTATGAATTAGTTGAAGCTCCAGGGCTTTCAGATTTTACAAAGCACATTTCTTTTCTTTTTTTCAGATGGTTGCTGTTTTGCCCCAAGTCAGCCAAATGATTATAAGCTGTGAGGGGAAATGCACGTTTAGACAGCAAAGAGTGGCTACCCTAACTGTCTGTGAACCCATGGATTTTATGGGTGATAAAGGTATATCTCGAGAATAAAACGGCTGCATGCTGAGCGACCTGCGTGGATGGATGTCCCCTGGGGTAGCAGAGGCTTTTCGCACACTTCTTTTTCACGCTTTTAACTCTAGCCGGATGAGCCTTTCTTATTGCCTAGAAACCTCGCTCTAGTGTCCGTTATGTACACCTGCCCTGCAGAAAGGGCAAGACTGCTGCAGGAAGCAAAAGAAGACAAAATGCACCAATATTATAAAACTTTGCAGACTGGTTTGAGTGATGAATACGTCAATGAATCTTAAATTTGATGGGGATTCACAAACAGGAACTGACAGGGTAGGTTGGTATTTTTAGATCGTAGAAGGATCAAACGCGGTCTCTGATAATTGAAATGGCAGGGATCATTAGTGTGAACTAAGACAGCATGATCACATATCCAGACTAATTAATCATCTTCATCATTCATCAAATGCAAAACAAGAACTCTATCTAATCTGGTCAGTTTTAATATGTTCCATCAATTTATATATATATATATATATATATATATATATATATATATATATATATATATATATATATATATATATATATATATATATATATATATATATATAAATATTCTTTATTTTTTGAAAACTGCCTGTAAAAACTGTAGGATCAGCTCCATCATTACGTTCTTTGCAAGCATAAAAATATGGTAAATTTAGCACAATTTTGGCACTTCGGCAACTAATTAATCATCTTCATCAATCTTCAAATGCAAAACAAGAACTCTATGTAATCTGGTCAGTTTTAATATGTTCCATTAATTTATACAAATGCACAAATACAGGTTTATACATAGGCTATATATAAAAAAAATTGCTGAATTTACCATGCTTTTATGCTTAAGGATGTAGTTGATCCATAGATAGATAGATAGATAGATAGATAGATAGATAGATAGATAGATAGATAGATAGATAGATAGATAGATAGATAGATAGATAGATTCTTTATTTTTTGAAAACTGCCTTAAAATCGTAGGATAAACTCCATCCTTAAGCATAAAAATATGGTAAATTCAGCAAAATATTGACACTTCAGCAACTTTTCTAAAAGCAGTGTGAGCACTGGAAAAAGCGCAGGTAATTAAATGCATTCTTCCCCAACAACGGTAGAAAGGATCTGGGTGCGCAAAAACCTTGCGCAAAAAACGCACCTTTTCTACATGCTGCCCCATTTAAGTAAATTCATAAATACTGGTTGTTTTTTATTTCCCCACACTGATGTTTTATTGATTTTAGATCAAGATTCCTCTCTAATAAATCCTCTTAACATCTTTCTCCTGTTGCGCACGGATTTAATAGCTGTGCACCTACCTGTGTCCAAAAAGAGTCCAAATAAAGTCGCCAAAACGAGTAGACGCATCCTCTTCTGAATGATACCCGGAGGAGAAACATCAGACCGAGAGCAATCAGAGGGAGGAGGGACAGATCCACGGCGGAGGAGACCCGGACGCGGAGCGGCTCATCCTCTCTGTGGTGGAGGGAGGCAGGGATGGAGGCGGAGAACAGCTCCGCAGAGGTGAAGCGCTCAGACGCGACTGGAGGGGAGAGATGCTGGGGCGCAGGAAGCTTAAAATCCACCACGTGATGGCGGCTGCCTTGTTAATATCACTCACACACCTTCACACAGCACATATGTCAAATAATACTACTTATATTATATTTTTATACCCAGCACACACGACAAAAAAAGAGAAAATATATTCCAAGGATCTTTTTCCCTATTAGCCCAAATAAATGAATGTCCATCCAGAAAAAGCTTGAATTGAACGTAATATTAAAAGTATTTTATTTATTTACCTTATGTGGAAGCATGTGCAGATGGAGAGCCTTTTTCATCAGGTAGTTTCATTTACTCAGTTATATTACCTGTAGTTACTTCTAGAAAAAAAATCCTTATAGGAATAATTTTACTCAAGCATTACTTAAACTTTAGTAATACTGTTTTGGAAGTATCAGTGGTGGTTCTAGACCAGGTTTACATTGGGGGTACAGCCATTTGTGACTCAGGGTATAGTTTTAGACAAGGTGATTAGGCTTAAAGGAATAGTACACCCAAAACATGATTAGCCTTCATTTTCTACTCACCCCCATGCTGAACAACACTCTGGAGTACTTTTTTGATATCTCAAATGCATCTGGAGATCTGGGAGGCTTCTTGCTGTCTGCTGACATTCAAATAATGGAGGTCTATGGCGCCCGAGGCAGAAAGGTCCATAAAAGTCCACAAAAAACGTGTCAATATTCCTCCATACTGCTCGTCCAATGTATTCCAGGTGTCCTAAGTGGGTTGCGTCCATAATTTACTCGAAACGAAGTCATTTAGAATGTTTTTAGAGCATAAACAGTAGTGTATAGGATTTCCTAAAAGCGCGTTCACGAGTCTACGGAAACCGCGGCAGACCAAACCAGCGCAGTCAGCTCGGCAAAGAACTCATGCTCTTCCTCAACACTGAAGTCCTCAGACATTTTTCTTTCGTCGTTTCTTTCTTTGCACAGGTAAACAGCATATTTCTTGTTCTACGCTTGCATTATCGGCAGAGCAGACGCTGAATGTGCACTTTCATCTGGTTTGGTCTGCCTCGGTTTCCGTAGACTCATGAACGCGCAGGTGCGCGCTTTTAGGAAATCCTATACACTACTGTTTATGCTCTAAAAACATTCTAAATGACTTCGTTTCGAGTAAATTATGGATGCTACCCACCCAGGACACTTGGAATACATTGGACGAGCAGTATGGAGGAATATTGACACGTTTTTTGTGGACTTTTATGGACCTTTCTGTCTCGGGCACCATAGACCTCCATTATTTGAATGTCAGCAGACAGCAAGAAGCCTCCCAGATCTCCAGATGCATTTGAGATATCAAAAAAGTACTCCAGAGGGTTGTTCAGCATGGGGGTGAGTAGAAAATGAAGGCTAATCATGTTTTGGGTGTACTATTCCTTTAAGGCAAGGCAAGGCAAGGCAAATTTATTAGTAGCACAATTCAGTACAAAGACGATGCAAAGTGCTTTACATGATTAAAATATAGGAAAATAAAACAGAATCAAAGCAAGTAGGAAAAAAAAATACAAATCCAGAAGCAAAAAAGAACATTAAAAACAGTTGGACTAAAGAAAATAAAAAAGTTGAACTAATGATGTTTCAGTTGAACTGTTTATCTAGAAAAGTTGAAGGCAATCCTAAACAAATGTGTTTTTAGTCTTTCGCACTTTCAGCACTTTTACAGTTTTCTGGAAGTTTGTTCCAGATAAGTGGAGCATAGGAACTAAATGCTGCTTCTCCATGTTTAGTTCTGGTTCTAGGTATGCAGAGCAGACTGGAGCCAGAAGACCTGAGTAGTCTGGAGGGTGGATATGCTTAAAACTTATATATTTCATCCTTATTTTTGATAGGGCTTATGAGTGGATCATGTTATCCTAAGCTATCTCTATAGTTATGCTGCTATAGGCTTAGACTGATGGAGGACATAGGGACTACTTTTTATCCATCCATCCATTTTCTGTCAAGCTTATCCCAAGCGGAGTGCTGCTGCTTATCTCAAGCTGTCTATGGGCGAGATGCGGGGTAAACAGGTTGCCAGTCCATCGCAGGGAAACACAGAGACAAACAACCATTCATGCACACACTCACAGCCAAGGAGCATTTAAAGAAGCCAATAAATCTACTCTGGACTGTGGGAGGAAGCTGGAGAGAACCCATGCATGCTCAGGGAGAACATGCTAACTCCATGCAGAAAGAGGGAGTTGAACCCAGAACCTTCTTACTGCAAGGCGGCCCAACTTTTCGGCATTCTGTTTAATTATATATCTACTTTCCCGTTCTGTAGTATTTGTTAATAGTTATAAATTTATTTTCTCTCCGCTTTTCCTAGTTGCCTCATCTGACCACGAAATATTCCTGTTTCTCTCCTAGACATATCTAAGCTCTCAGTTTTTATCGTGACTAACTGCATGTTCTCTTTCTGATCCTTTTTGACATTGAATCCGTCCAAGAGCTCTTCTGCTCAGTACCTTCTTATCTATTATCTATGGAGCAAGTTCATCACTATCATATCTAACGTAGAAAGTATTGATGGATCAATGCTTCTATGTAACTTTTGTGCAGATGCTTCTGTCTCCTTGATTCCTCAAATATGCTCACGTTGCGTCCATTTCTTCCTATTAAAAGCGAGTTTTTCCTTTCCACTGTTTCTGCATACAAGCTCAGTGTGAGGAATTGCTGCAGGGTCATAGACACAATGCAAGTGAATATTGACTATTCATCCAGGAGAGGTGAATTATGTTACGCTAATGACTGGATGAAGTCCTGAACTTTACCCGTCTGACTGGATTTGACTGAAGTGAATTGAATGACCCTGAGAGGTTAAATGTTTTAGGGATAACAAAGGAACATGGCTGCAATATTTTCAACCGTCCTGTTATCTTTTCTCGCATTTTCTAACATTTTCCACTTAAACACATCTTTTCATCTTATTGGTTGTTGAAGCTCTGGAATTACCTTTCTGATACTACGTAGTTTGCTTTTCTTCCCATTCCCACTTTATTTGCCTTTACATGAAAGAGCGTTACTTTTACTATGAACTGGCACAAGAAATCAAAAATAAATACTTGTCAACCAGTTGCAACTACAATAATGTGACCAGTTTGACTTACGAAGCTGTTACTTCCATTTTAGCAGAAATATTAATCCTTATATACATATATATATAAACATTGAGCATTTAGGATGAAACAGGCATTTTTGCAAAAGCCAAATGCAGAAAATGGAGTTAACTAACCGCTGGAGTATGCATTGTACTGATAAATAAATGTCTTTTTGAGAACGGAACAGTTCTGTTGTATGTTCCTTTGAAGTTAAAACAGGTGATAAAATCACACAAACCTATGCAGCTCCTTACTTTAACTTAATTTAAGTTCCAGCAACCAGAAGTCAGTCGGCTCAGAAGGGGAAAAAAAAAACAAAAACACATGAGTCTGTGACAATGCTTCCATCAAACAAGTTATTACTTTAAAAAAGATAAACTTCCAAATTATGTTGAGAAAAAAAAAAGTTGATATAAATCAGTTTATAATTGATTCCAGATCACATCCATTCTATATCTGCTGCTTAAGTGAAGTGACACAGAGACTTTCTTAGTACAATTTGCATACTGCATGAATCATGGTATGGTTCATTCACGCCGAAACATTACCTAATCACCTGCACTGATTAATACGCTAGACCAGGGGTTCTGAAAGTCGGGGTCACCAAATGGATGATTGCAAATTGTTTTTTTTACAACCACTGTGCTGTGATCCCTGAGGTACATGGAGTTCCAAAATATATAATAAAGAAATGTACATGTATTATGTCCAATAAAATAAGTAGATGTAGCATTTATTTATTTAAACTTAAAAAAAATATTTAAAACATGATTAGAATTTACTTTTCAAGATAAACTTTGGTTCTCAAACATAGAATCCATTCTCAAATGTAATCATGTATTATTTACCGTATTTACTGGACTATATAGAGCGCACCTCACTATAAGCCCCGCCCACAAAACTTTTTGAGAAAAGTAGAAACCTACATAAGTCGTACTGGACTTTTTTTTTTTTTCTTCCTTTTTTAATTGTGCTGAATGAAAATTAGCCCCTTCCTTCATTTCTAACTTTGACTTTCCCCCTTTGGCAGTAAAATTCTGCAGAAAAGCCGCACCTTCTTGTAAGCCTGGAGAAAAGAGTAGCAGCTTATAGTCCAGAAAATACGGTAATTTAAATATGATTTCAACAATTTTAATTCACTTTCCTATATGTACGTAGGGACTAATTACTTTAGTTGAGGTTTAGTGAAGCGTTTTTATCTTGGAATGGGAATAACTTTTTGCTCAAGAGTTCTTATAGTTGTGAATTTATTCCATAAGTGTGTAGATTTAAGCTAAGATCACACTTTTCCATTTGGGTGCACAGAACAACAAATGATGTTCTAAAAGTTATTAAATGAAACAACAAAAGTTCCAACAGCTTTTAAATGCATAACACATCTTTTAGTGTGTCCTGTAGAAATGGTGGCCATATTTGATTTTGAGGGTGGATTCGATTGAGGGGTAGATCTCAGAAACTCCTTCTTCCACAGTTAAATAGATTGTAGCTTCATTTACTGTACAAGCAAGTTAGTAATTGGATGAATACAAAATAACGCATTAAAAGTAAATTTCTGATAAAAGAGTTAAACAATTTATAAAGTTTATTCCCTCTGCTTATAGTGTAAGCCTAACATGTTTGATTTACAGTTAACCTTTTAAAATGAGAGAATCACTGTTAGGAAACACAACCTGGTATGAGGTACCATCTTATATTCTGCATGTAAATAGCTATCATATGCAAATGCTTTAAAGTTTTAGTCTCCCCAAGAAGAGTTCTTGTGAACAAACATAATTATCTAAAACACCAAGCTAGCCCGTAAAGGTTAATAACATTTTTAATCTGCTTAATTAACCTCTTTCATAATGACAGGCCTGAAAAAGGCTCCAGTCTAAACCGCATTTCCGCCTCGTTATTTTCACTTTTTG